ACACGTGTGTCCCCACACAGCCAGAGAGTGTGTGCATACAGAGGTGTAGAGATGCTGCTGTCACTCTGCAGAGGCTTCCTCTGAGTTATGGTCAAAGTGTAGACAGTCGTGAGAAAAAAAAGCTGCAGTTTGCTGACTGTCTTCATTGGACCGGTGAGAATCTTCACTTCTTGGTACAGTCGCAGCACATGGCACATCTGCTTCTCCACCCTGAGAAACATCCATGAATCAATGAATCAATAATAATATGTCTTAGAGCAGCAGGAGATTCAATTAGCATCATTCTATCAAACATACTGCCTTCACAAATGTATATTCCTTTTGTCAATTCTGTCATTACTGATGCAAAACATTCAATATGACCATGTGCAAGCACAATGTGCACTTAATTATTCAACATGGCGACACGACATCAAATACGCAGTACAGTATAAAACGAAGCTATGGACAATGAAACATGCAATGGTGAATGAGGAGGATGTTGAGCTTCCAGATGAAGCATGATGGGATGATAACTGCTTCATTATCTTCTCGTTTTGTCGTTCACCCCACTGTATTCTTTATGAAGGCAGGTACATGGACATGAGTTATAGTTGTTTACCTCCAAGTTTCCCACAGTGAAGAAGTCCCAGCAGCATCAGCAGCATAGCCATCAGCACAATGGGGAAAATGGTTCTAGCAAGATGAGGAGGACCATTTGATCTGAACAGAGGAAGTGTTTCTGAGGTGATGGTTTCTGCACGGGGAGGGGATCAGTCTCTGTGTGAAGGGCTGCAGAGACAACAGAAAGTATATCATGTGATGTTATGAGACACAGTGGTGACTCTGTGGGTTATATTTTATATTTTGTGCATGTTAAGATTAGAATAAAATCACATCAATAGTTATAATTTCCCTCCTGATTGCTAGATGCACTTTTTACTTCTTCAGTGTCTACACAGCTTGAAATTGTGTAATGCAGTTAAGAGTGGTTATATGTCCTCGCTTCATTTCAGCTAAGTGTGGAAGTCTCTTGCTTTTTGCTGTCATATATGGTGCCTGGTGTTTTACAGCAGGCGGGCCCAGCCCCTGCTCAGTGGAGAGACAGACAGAAACCACACT